TACACAAGCAAGGGCTTTGGCCATCTGTTTCTGCTCCTACTATGAATAGCTGACTGCATTTCTGTATGAGATGATATTCATATAGGTCCTTTGATCACAGAATCACAGAATCATTAAGGTTGGAAAAGACATTTAAGATCATCAAGTCTAACCATCAAGCCAACACCACCATGCCCACTAAACCATGTCCCCAAGTGCCACGTCTACATGTTTTTTGAACACCTCCAGTGATGGTGACTCCACCACCTCCCTGGGCAGCCTGTGCCAATGCTTGACCACTCTCTCAGTGAAGAAATTTTTCCTAGTATTTAGTCTAAACCTCCCCTGGCGTAACTTGAGGCCATTTCCTCTCGTTCTATCGCTGGTTACTTGGGAGGAGAGACCAACATCCATCTCACCACAACCCCCTTTCAGGTAGTTGTAGAGAGCGATAAGGTCTCCTCTCAGCCTCCTCTTCTCCAAACTAAACAACCCCAGTTCCCTCAGCCACTCCTCATAAGACTTGTGCTCCAGGTCCCTCACCAGCTTCGTTGCCCTTCTCTGGACACGCTCCAGCACCTCAATGTCCTTCTTGTAGCAAGGGGCCCAAAACTGATTCTTCCTATGTACTCTCTAGCTCTGCTCTTAGTGTGATGAAGAAAAGAATTAAATAAAATGGAGCAGAAAGCAAGCTCTGTCCCTCTCTCCTGAGGTACATCAGACACAAATCTATCCACAAGTGGAATGTGATGTCCAGATTTCCAAGAATGGCATGATAGTTACTCCAGAGATTGCAAGTCAAGATATAATCTGTGGTCCTGTGCCATCTTACTTACCTCATGTTTATGCAAGGCACCACTGTGGGAAAATAGGGGCTTTTCCCCCCAAAATTCAAGAGTAAACTGATTTCCAGGTACCGTTAAATGAACAATCTTCATCCATTGTTGCTTGCCTCAAGTTCTGCACTTTCAGCCTGCAACACGTTAAAGTTTTCTTATTTGCAGGCAGTGGAAGCTGTGTGATACCTGGAATCTGGCTCACGGCTTCTCTGACCGGGAGCCCCAGACCACTGTTGCCCACTGATGACCATGCTGGCTTGGCAGTCTAGAATTAACAAAACCCAATACAACCCAATGCTCCGCATAATCAATCTACATATCCAATTATTTTCACTCAGGGGGTCCCTATTTGTCCAGGAAACACGCAGTATGAATTATAGCAGCGTAAATTATACAGTCTGTAACTATGCAGTGTAAATGATAACCCAGGCTGCAGGCTCACAACCTCTACATCTGTTCCTAGTTAAAGCAAACATTGCTAAGACACTAAGCAAAGCTCCCGAGCCAAAGTATTAACTCCCTTGCACGTGGTTTGTTTTTTTTTTTTAAAGATAATCACTGAATGAGGTACGTCTCAGGAGAGAAGCCTCAACCCTGGCCAAGAGTCCCAGCGGTTGGAGGCTTCTGAACCGCACCCAGCTTGCTTCCTGCTGCCCTCCTTGTGCAGGCAGCGCGCTCTGCCTGCAGCACTCTGTCCCCTGGCTCGGTCAGTACTAATCCAGGCGAGAGCACGGGGAAGCTGCGAGGTTGCTGACTCACTAACCAGAGCGCAAACCAGCGCTGGAAGCGGAGTCAGACTAGAGAGTGCTGAATCACATCCGCTAACAAGCACTCCCCGCTCACAGCAGAAAGGGACTGATGCCGTCAAATCATACACCGTCCTCTTGGCTTACAACATCTCTGCAGTGAAGTCACACGTATTTAAGGGACCTACTGCAAAAGTAGAGGCTATTTACTCTTCACTGAAGTTGCAACCTACATCAAAAGCTGCAGCTGAACTCTTGAGGAACCATAGGTTTATTTTAAGTGTCAGCCCCACGTGGATGGATCTTTGCTTGCAACTAACTGTGCTCCAGCCACAGATGTATTCAGTTTCTGCTGGCAAAACTGGCAAGATAGAGCAAAATCATTTGGAGGTTTACCTTGTGGTAAGATGTAAAAGGTAAGGTCCTCCCTGAAGGACACTACACCATCTCGTGTTGCCAGTCGGTTATGGTGTCTATAGTCCTCATCAATCAACAAATTGAGCTATGCCAGGTTCCATTTGGGGGACTTTTTTTCCCTAGGGGAAACAATTAATAACCAGAATTACAATATTAATATAATCCCAACGGGGAGCAACAGAATGTCTGATCCAGAGAAGATGACAAGTGTGCTAGGTCCCCAGGGAGACAGAATCATCTCAGCTAAAGGAAAACAGCTGCACAAGAACATGAAACTGAATTTCCACATTGATAATGCGTTTCTGTCACTTGACTTTGGACACCAAAGTCAGAACCAGCTATACCAAAATCTTTTCAAGGTGAGCGGTTGGAAACTGACAACTCTAGAAGAGAACTCGCCTGGTCTCTCTTAGGTGTTATTGTAAACTGAGTCTAGTAACTCTCCGAAGGCACCCACTTCTTCCCACTGACTACGATGGTGGGGAGGTGACATGCTCACACCTGATCATCTGGCTTTTAGACACCCCAGTTAGAGCAGATGTTCCCAATGGGAAACACTTTGTGTGAACGCCTGATAAAGACATGAAAGGAATTTCTTTGACCTGAATCGATTTTGGAACAGCATTCAGGTCCAAAATTGTAATCTTTGTTTTGAACACCACTAGTTGCAAGATCATCTGCAATCCACTTGGCACATGTCCCTGCAGCCGGCAGGTCAGTCTATTCCCAATCACTAGACTGTAAGACTCTTATAAACGTGACTTCTAATGGCTCTTCCAGGCTAAGCATGTGTTCTAAGATGACAGGCTAAAAGGCCACTATCAAGTTCATTTTATCCTGTTGAAATATAAATTCGATGCAAGATGCAGAAGAGACAAACAGTCAAACTGAGATCGAAACAGACGTAGCCTACAAAAGGGATTTTTAGGTATAGAAAAGTCAAGGCTTTAGTTCGAACTTTTACCTCACTTCTAGCAAAACCAGAAGCACAGACAAATGTTAGTCAATTCAAACAACAAACTCAACCCAAAACAGCTTCCAAGGCTCACAGAAAAAAAGAACCATACATCTCACTGCTGTGCCCAGTCACGCCATACGGATTTTAAAGAATCAAATCCTGAATTCCTTACTCTGTCTTAACTCTCAATGGCTTGAATACTGTTGGATACCCCTGCTCAGCAACTCAGAATATCAGCTTTGTTCTGCTAAGCATCCCATTAACATCTACCAGGCAGGTCACGGTCCTTCAGCCCCACCAGCGTGTGCTCACATCATGCGGTGTGGACAAGACGGCGCACACTTTTTCCCTCTGTGCTAACCGTCTCTGCACACATCCATGACACAACTCCACCACAGAGATATGGCAACTAATCATTCTTGAAGTGTAAACTAAGCAGCATCCACAAGCCCGTACGCAGGTGGTGAACACCGGACTCATCCATCAGCAGGAGAAGTAGGGCTGCGCAGCACAGGGCAGCCCCAACTCAGAGTATTTAAGTGCTTAGAGGGTCCCGCTCACTTGTTTAAAGCAACGGTGTTCCCATTGCCTTACTGATGGACAGCATAAAAATCACCACATCAGCAACGGCGAGTTCCTGCCTGTCTTCTCCAGATCTTCTGTCCAAAGAGCCGGAGCCAGGAGAGCGATCCTGCAATGGCATTTCAGCCTGGGAGCTGCCGCTCCCGGCCATCACTTAGCTTGTGGTAGAAAGACTGCCTTGCCCTCAGCTTCTCTAATGAACAGCTACGATTTGTTTGAGAATATTGATATCGAAGACACACTAAAGTCTCATGCATTTTGTTCACTCAGGCAGAAACTGAATTTTACCCAGATTTTCTCGTATTCTGCAAATACCAAGAAGCAGAGTACTCATTGCCTGCTAAAAATCTCACCTAGTAACTGCAAGGAGTACTACTAAATCTGAAGGGATTTTAATTCCCTTGAGGGTTGGGTGTTTATACAGTGATCTCCAGTTCATGTTTAACATGGGTTGCTATCTTCAGTAAATTGGCCCAGGAATTCACTCTTTAATACCTGCCTGTTTTTTCCAACAAAAAAAATGCAATGTGATCTATTTTTAGGCTTCCCAAGCAGGCAATTTCCAGAAATAAGATTAACAGCACCAGCTACAAATCCACTCAAAGATGATGATACGGAGATGTGCAGTGGTACTCAGCTGTCATCTGGGACAGGAAAGCTTCTCCCCGCCACCACAAGCAAAAGCCTTTTCAGGCTGCTGCGTCCCACCGGACCTCAGGGAGCTGCTGCTAACCCGCTGACTGCTCCACTTGCTGCTGGCTCCCACACCACTGTGAAACCAGTTTAAAAACACTCACGTCACCGACAGCTGGTTGCATCTCAGCTACCAGAGACCAGATGCTGTAGGTACCTGAGAAGCTTCTAACAGTTTTGACACTATCAAGTGGCTACGATGCTACACATCACCGCAATGCGCTGCTTACTAACAAACTGGGGACAAACTTTTCCGCAGGGCCTGTTGCAAGAGGGCAAAGGCTAATGGTTTTAAACAAAAAGAGTAGATTTAGATTAGCTCTAAGGAAGAAATTTTTCACAATGAGGGTGGGGAAACCCTGGCCCAGGTTGCCCAGAGAGGTGGTAGATGCCCCATCCCTGGAAACATTCCAGGTCAGGTTGGACGGGGCTCTGAGCAACCTGATCAAGTTGAAAATGTCCCTGGTCATGGCAGGGGGGTTGGACTAGGTGACCTTTAAATGTCCCTTCCAACCCAAACCATTCCACGATTCTATGAAACTCAAAGTATCTGATGGTTTCCCCAATATCAGCATCCCTCCCCTCCAGAAGCAGTCCACTGACTTGAAATTATTAACTGTTCTATTGCACTGCTTTTGGAAAGCTTTTTCTTTGCTATATGATTTTATAGACCTGACAATTAGTGTTTCCAAGCTTTTCTTGGGAAGCACAGGGATTAAAAATTTCAATTAAAATAAAGCTCAGATTTTCCTTAATCATGTAACTTATGCAACATAAACCACTCACCCGCAATGGTCACGAGATACACGCTAATGTCTCCAGAGCTGGCAATGCAGCTTCTTAGGTTTTCTATTCTGTTGTAACATGAAAATATGAAGTAAGAAATAGTAATCTACCAATGTAATTAAAGATACAAAGAAAAAATATGAATTGTGGGCATGGAGAGCTGTTCTTCAATTTTAATAAAAGTCATTCAGCGTTTCATGGGAACAGCAAATACGTAACTTAGATGTATCTTCGATATTTTGACATTATAAGAAACAAGACATGGATTTCAGATTGACAAAAATATTAACAGTTACCTCCAACATTAGAAACTCATTTATATTTACCAAAGAATCAGAATAACTAAAAAAAAAAAAAAAAGCTGTTCAATGAAAAACCAAAAAGGACTCAAGAGGAACTTCATTTCAGCTGCAAAGCGCACATGGTGTTACTGACCTCAGAGCCTCTGCCAAGCTGAAGGGATCCTGCTGCCCTAATCCTGAATCAACAAGACAAAACGTGTTTAGTACTCCATCATAAATTTCAGCTTAGTGGCTTTAACGGCAGCCAGACACAGTGAAGAGCAAGTAGCTCAGGAGGAACACACAGAAATCTCATCTGAGAAACCAGAGCTCACCAGACTCCCTCCAACAGAGCCTACTGGCTTGAGGGGGAAGGATCTGCTCATCTGAGAAGCAGCACTGGCAAAATGACTACCAGATCATGCCATGAGCTTCTCAAAAATACCTGGGTAACCTTCAGCTACCCAGAGTCTGGGCATCCCCCGTCAAAAGTCACCTGAATTTCAAACTCTTTCCAAGTTTAAGAGATTGCAAGAAAGGTTTCTTCTTCAGCCTGGACACTCTGAAACTCACTGAAAGTAAAACACAGCACAAGCAGACAACCAACACAAAGTCTGCTCAACAACGAAGAATAAATCTGGTATCAATTCCAAATATCCAATACAGACTTTCCAAACATCCATACAGACAGAATAATAGAATCAGATGCCCAATGCTTATATTGGTTTCTTTTCAGAGGAAAACAGCTTAGATATAATTGCATGTCAGATAATTCTTTGCCTTCCCAATGTTTTATTAACAAAGCTGCCACGACTGAAATAAGCTGTCTCCATTTTCTGGTTCTGCAATTATGAAGTGCCTCTTCTTTACTACAAGAAAGCATTTGAGTTGCGAGAACTTCCATTTTGTGTTTGTCATCGTGACTGTAGAGCATGCCAGTGAGACAGTAAATCACTTCTCATATTTGCTATCTTTTGGGTAGCCAGCAGTTAATTAGATAGTTTAGGGCTTTTTTCAATACCTTAATCTGAATAGCAAAGCAGGCTAGAAATCCGGGGCTGGCTATTCCCAAAATGTAGCCACCAGCATGTTCCCGTCTAGGCAGGTTCTACGGTAGGAGTAGGAGCTCGAACCACTCAACACTGCAACCCCAGACGGCACCACAAAGTGCCTTGGATGAAGGAAACAACCGATTTTTAGGGAAATTAAAGCATAAGAGAGTGTTTGTTGCCACGTTAGTGGTGCTGCATTACATTTTCCAGCCCCTCTAATTTCAAAGGCTGGGCGCAGAATTCACAGCTTTTAAAGCAAGACCTGATGCTTGAGAAAAGATCTGAAAAAGGACTAGAGCAATCAGAGGTCTAAAATAAACCCCACAGTCCGTGTGTAAAGATGGAAAGAACCAGGGTCAAACAACTTAAAGACAGAGGGGAGACAGCAAGTCATCTTCATGTGTGCAAAAGGTTCCTGCACAAAAGAAAGGATTAATTATGCACATCTGTGTTGACAGGGCCAGAAGCAAGGGACTTTAATTGCATTAATGGCAAGTTCAGTGGGACAGCAGGACAATTGTTAAACATGGAGAACAGTGGACTGCTAAATGAGATGATGCTGGGTAGACAATTCCCATTGCAGGAGGGTTTTCAGACCAGGCTGTCTGGCGTGGATGGAGTTGACTGTCTCAGAGCATGAGGACAGAGTAGGTCCGCTTTCTACCATAAAACAATTGTGATAAATAATTTTACCTCTCAATGAAGAACAGATGTCCAGAGGGTGCTAAACATACTCAGAAATACCAATCCTACCCAACATGACTACATTTGGGTACTTAAGCCCTCCTGAAAATAAAGGCCTTGCATTTCATTTAGCTTGTCCCATTCATTCACTCAACCTATATTCATCAAGCAACACTGAGCTAATAATAAAAAGGTGTTAATAACAAAAACTAGCTATTATTAGCTGAGCTAATAATAAAAACTAGGGTGAAGGAAACATACTGTGAGCTCAGAATGGGCATCAGAAATAGGATGCTCTGCAGAATTCCCGAATAAGCATGCTGTCACTGCATCCAAATCACTGCAAGGGGTGTTTTCCAACCCGTATACCACAGGCAACTCAGGACCACCATTAAGGACAGGCACGAAAAGTAAGCCTGCTGCCAGCAAGTACCGCTTATTATTCGGGCTTCTGTACCTTCTCTGGAAGGAATTTAGATTTCTAAAAGTCAAAATAGCTTGACACCCACTAGCATCAGACACTGGATTTTAGAAGATTCCCAAGGCAGATGTGAAGCCTTGTGAAAGACTCCTACGGCAGAGCATCAAGGCCTCCCAGGGGAGCAACGTGGACGAGCTGCTCTGTTGTCCCAGCCTGGCTTCGGGAGCCGACGTTGAATGCGGAGTGTTGTAGCTTTTGAAGGAGGAGAGCAAAGTGACCAAGTCCTGATTCAGTGGGTGATTCTGGTTTAGGCCCTATGGTAAGATTAATTTCCAGTAGCTCTGATAGTTAATCACAAAATCTACCACCCCTTGGTTTCTGCTATTTTATTTAAAGGCATTTTTATTTTCCATTTTAAGTGCTGATCGGGTGGCTTTGCTCCTGCAAAATTACAGCTACATTTATTTACTGATGATGAAATAACAGCCCAAAATCTCAGCTGCAAGATACTGGCCTTACTCCACTCCAACCAGTCTTTGGAGTTAGCAGTTAAGTAACTGTAGTTGTAAAGGCTCAGCACAAAACATCTTCCAGCATCCGCAGAGCTACTCTGAAATCAGTGATCTCTGCTGAGTGTCAAAGTCCATCTGCTCTCATCAGCAGGGTACCACAGAGGATGCTCATGTATACCCATTCCAGCAGAAGAGAGATCCCACGTGAGATAGTTCCCCCTCTTTTTTTCCCTCCAGAATTCGGGTCCAAGCTTAAAAAAAAAAACAAAACCAAAAAACAGAAAAAACTATGACAAAATCAGATAGTACTAGTGTGAAAAATAACCAGTGCTGAACTTGAAGAGAATTCTTTTGAACAGTAGCAACTTTAGAAATTTTTTTAGCAGAAATTCTCTACAAATTCTTTGAAAAAAAATAAAATCCTTGTACCACAAAAATTAAAAATTTTGGTACTAAGAAATCTCCAACCTTTTGTGAGTACTTCTTGTCTAATCTTCATATAATCCTCCCTAATACCTTTCAGTGTAAATCTCTGTTACGTGCAACATCTTATTAGCAAGACAATGAAGATAACACAAGAAAAGTCTACTGAGCAGCATTAGGGGATTAAGGAAGGATTAAACAGTTGTGACACAATGAAAATGTCGAAGCTGTGTGTTCACCATCATTACTCTGGTTTCTAATACTCTCCCTGGGTCAGTTACTCAAGTCCCTAGACTGCCCCGCAGGACTGTGCTCAGTGTGATGAGCGGTGGCAGGACCCAGCCATCATCTCACGACTGGGGACGGTTTTCCAATGTAAGAAGAGGGGCAAGGAGTCTGTTCTCGATGTATATGAAAAGCTAAGTGCATATGCACCAGAAAACGGTTAGTAAAAGCGAAACAGGCTCTTCCTAGAGAGATCAGCTTTGCATTTCTTTAGGATGATGATACCTTTCAGTAATGTGGTTTTATGGTTACCTGAAGGGTCTCTTTCACAGAGGGGAACTGGCATCCCCATACACAACAAACCTCTTTCAGGGATACTTCGACAGCTCACCCTCCCCACACACAGCCCCATCATGGGCCGGGGAAGCAGACACACCACCACAACAACATGTCCCGGGGCCCAGCCCCATGCAAACTCACTTCACCTGGTGGAAATGGGAGTTATTTTTACAAGTAGTCTCCTCAGGTCCTTATTCCACTTACAGAACTGACTGATGGTTCAAAACAAGGTGGTTCAAAATGAAATTGCTCCAATCAAGGGTACCCCTGAGATCTTTGCTGCCTTCCAGTTCCCAGGGAAGAGACATACCCCTGCTCTCACTGCTCCCCAAGCAAGGATTTGCAGGAGTGGAGATCTGGACCAACAGTGTCCAGCAGCCATTCACAGACATGATCTGCTCTTTACCTGAAAGACCAGAACACTCTATCCTTTAAATATGAGCCCTTAATCCGAAATAAAATCTTACTCAATATTTAAAATCAAGCCTATTTACTGCAACAGAGCATGGTATTGATCTGGCGCTGGTTTAACCTGTCAGAGGTAAATCAGAGCCCACAGCAGGATTCTATTAAGCTATCGGAGAGCCCATCTCCTCGTTAGGGAACACGCAGTGCTATCAGCACTCAGTCCCTGAAACAATTAACCTGGCACCCAAGCATTCTCTTATGTCCCTTGCTGCCTAGCGGCATCTTCAAGCCCAAGACAACCCTCTGCTGACAGTAACTGTGTGCCAGCATGGCTCATTAATGGGTAGGAGCTGGCGGGTCTGGTCAGAGCAGGTCAAGCACATAGTCCTTGAGAGAGGCAGCAGAGAGGAGCACAGCTTTCCACAGCCTGCAGGACACAGTAACCCACTTCAGAGGCTTATTTCTAACACCTCAACATTCATGTTAAATATCTGAGAAGGGGTTGCCCTACTTTTCCAAACTCTTTCACCACCTGGAATCTGTGTCAATGAAAAGACGGGGTTGTTTGGGGGGATTTGTTTTTCAGACCTTTTTTTCCCCCTCTAATGACTCTCTTGCAACTTTGCCCCAGCCATGCGACAAAGCAGAGCACAACTGCTGATTTCCAAGTCTGCCTCTCAGCACTCCTCAACAGGCACGATGTCCTGCCCACCACGACAGTGTACAAAAGGTCTCCTCCAGTAAGTGCTGTCCAGGGAAAAGAGGCACTACGATTAATCTTGGCTCTTAAACTTACACCATAAGGTTCCCGGTGCCACGTGGAGCACATACAGCGAGTGGTGGCTGCCCGCTGGCCTTAACACACAGCTGGTGTGTACAACCTCTCAGAAAGTGGGTGTATTTGCTGGCACTCACGTGCGCTGTAGGCTCACCACCCTGGCACTCTCCTGGGCTCAGCCTCCAGCATAAACAGTGGCTTGGACCTCTGCAAGCTGGCACAGTAAGACAAGGCTGGCCCCGCATGCCTGTGACTAAACCAGTAACTTTGGGGGATTAAAAATGCAGGAGTGGGAACTACAGGCCTGTCAGCCTGACCTC